TTTTTTTCTTCTTTTTTTTTTTTTTTTTTTTTGTGTGTTCAATCTGAGGAAAAACTATGTGTGGAGGAGCTATTATTTCTGATTTTATACCGCCGACTCGGTCTGACCGGGTCACAGCCGATCATCTCTGGCCGGATTTGAAGAAACTTAAATCAGGGAAAAATTCCTCAGCAAAGAAGTCCCTCAGGTCGCAGATCTTCGATGTTGATGATTTTGAGGCTGATTTCCAGGACTTCAAGGACGATTCTGACGCTGATTTTGACGAAGATCACTTCTCGGATGTTAAACCGTTCCTTTTCTCTGCTCCTAACTCCGCCTGCTCTTCCACTCGCGGTAATGGCATGTTTACGGTTTCTTTTTAATAATTTCCCTTGTGGTCGTTCCTTTTGAATGTTTAGTAAATTTCATGAATATATGGGTCGACTCTATCGCTTACTTATTTTTTGATGCGGTAGAGACTTTTTTTTTTTTTTTTTTTAAAATGATTCTTCACTGCATGAGAATAAATCATCACCTACCACGAATTTTTGTAATCTTCGGGTGATTATTGTGTTTTCCTTTTCGATTTTCTGCAATAATTGAACTGTTTTCTGCTTTGCATGAACACTCTAAATGTTTGATCGTTTCCTTCATGCAATCGGGAGACTTGAGTGATCTGATTGTAAAAATTAATAACATTTTTTCAAGTGCGAAGAAGCTTAAGTTTTCTTATCTGTAGCAATCACCTTTAAATCAATTTCGAAGCATGTTCTGCAATTGCCTTTCCTTCTTGCGGGAAGTAAGAAATGTGTGTAGGTTTCTTCCTTTTAGACGTAGCTTTGTTCTTTTATTTTGGCTTTGATTTATGGATGTTAGAAATATTCCCACTTGAGAAGCATGTTGGTGTTGTAATCATGCATAATTAACTACAAGGCTTTGTTACATTACTTGATCGAACTATTTAGACTTCTGCTTCGTATTGATTTCATTGTTATCTAACTATTGAAGGATCAAGCGCCACAAAACTTGTGGAGTTCAATGGACAAACTGACAAGTCTGCAAGTACTAAGAGGAAGAATAAATTTAGGGGAATAAGGCAGCGCCCATGGGGTAAGTGGGCTGCTGAGATCCGAGACCCAACGAAAGGGGCCCGTGTATGGCTTGGTACTTTCAACACTGCAGAAGAAGCTGCAAGAGCATATGATGCAGAGGCGCTGAGAATTCGAGGCAAGAAAGCCAAGTTGAATTTCCCTGATGAACCTTTGCATAATACCCTGAAGCGGAAAAACTCACAGAAAGTGAAACATCTCAATATGAACTTGAAAGCAAACCAGGCCAACGCAAACCAACACCTTAAGTTTTCTAATCATCCAGATCAGAACTACTACAGAACCACTGGTTTTCTGGAAGCAAAACCTCCTACTGACCAACTTGGATACATGGACTCATTCCCTGCTGGTATGGATAGTACTCCATCTGACGAAATGCTCCTGTATTTTAACTCCGATGAGGGAAGCAACTCGATTGGCTGTTCTGATTTTGGATGGAGAGATCAAGGTGTCAAGACTCCAGAAATCTCTTCTGTCTTCTCAGCTACTTTTGAAAGTATCGACTCTCAGTTTACAGAGGACATGAATCCAAGGAAGAAACTAAGGTGTAGTTCAGGGGATGCCATAACTGCTGAAGAAGTAGGTGCTAAGACACTGTCAGAGGAGCTTTCTTCCTTCGAGTCCCAGATGAAGTGTTTTCAGATGCCATATCTGGAAGGGGACTGGGATGATTCAATAGATGCCTTCCTTGGAGGGGTTGCGACTCAAGATGGTGGAAACCCAGTGGACCTTTGGAGTTTTAATGATCTCCCTGCTGTGGTTGGAGGATTCTTTTAAGCAAAGTTTTCCTTTGCCGGCTGGTTCATTTAAATAAAGCTATATGTTAGTCATTTCGATTCTTCAATCATATCTAAGTCAGTTTCATGGCCCTCTCTACTGGATCTTCTATAATCCCTTCCTAGTTCACTTATATTGTCTGAAATTTGTTGGTGTGATGTTGTTGCTGTGTGCAGGAAGTGGATGTCATCGATGATTGGGACGAAGTTCAAATGGTCAATTGTGTTCGAGGCAATTAAGGTCATGTTTATGCTGTAGCTAATGGACTAGGATTGTCTAGTTTATTCCGGTAGCAATACCTGAAAACCTTTAACTGGCGATAGCCTGTCGAGTGAAGTCTGTATGAACAATATCTATCGAGTTAAGTCTGTATGAACAATATGTTTATCTGTATTTATGTAGCATAAAACATGGTAGATGTCTTTGCCATTGAGGATTTTTACATCATGGAATGTCTAGATTCTGACTTGTATGAATTAAAGTCATCGCTAATATCTCTCTTTTCCAAGCCGATCTTTTTAGGAAGAACATGAACATAGTTTGAGTTCTTTTTTGACCATTTTTGTTGCACTAATATTGAAAATGTGCCGTGTCCATTAATAAATTTAATTGACTTCGGCGGGGTTGGAGTTTGGTCAATACTCCATAACATATAAAACAAGATAGCCTAAGCATAGGCCATTTATGGTGTTCCTGTAGGCGCCTGCCCACATGCAATGGATTTAGTGCTAAAAGCATTGAGCTGAAACTACTGTCTGTAGTGATTTTTTAGTCTCTAATCTTGTAGCCTTTAGCCCATCACTGTCTTATATTGTTTTGAATCTTAGTTTATTATAACCTTGCATGGGATCCAACGGCATTCAATTATGAACTCAAAAGGTCGGGTTTCGCTGTGTGGAAAGATCAAATTGGGGAATAGTTGATGATCTTAGTTGAAGTGTGATTGCTTGTTGGTAAAGTTGAGATGTCATATTCAACTTTTAGTACTGAGCTTTTTTTTTTTTTTTTTTTTTTTTTTTTTTTTTTTTTTTTTTTGTACAGTTGTTTCTATCTGAACGATCTTTTCATGCTGTTACTCGAAGGAACTAAAGTGACAACATTAGTATCTGAATCAGGACCTTTACTGTACTGGGTTCTCTCTTGATAAGAAAAAGAATAGGAAAGTCTTTATTGAAATCATTAAAGGGAGTTTAGCATGAATCCTGGCCAAACCCAATGTGAATCATGAAAATAGGAACCCCCACCCAACCACACATATACGAGGGAGAATCATGATTCAAATTGACCTTAGCCTTTTGGACTCGTTAACAAAGCAAAAAGATGTTCCCCACAGAGAGAATTGGAGTAAAATAGTGGAGAGAGAGAGAGAGAGAGAGAGAGAGAGGATATTCAGAATGAAGCTGTGACTCAAACTCTTCCCAAAAGGCTAGGCAAGGAGGTCGTATTGGCAGAGCAGGCAGAATAGGACTAAGGGACGTAATGCTTATTTGGTGGAGAATGACAGGACAATGAATACAAAGTTGAAAATGGACAAATGCTTACTGCACACTACCATGAATCATAAGATAGTAGCTAAAAAACAGAGAAATGAGCAGAGCTGGGCACTGGTGAATGCCCACTACCCCCCCTTACCCAACCACAGTTGACTATGGCCAAACCCACCCACTTAAATGTCCAGAAACACATTTTTGCTCCTCCAGAGCCATGTGGGGCTCTTGTCGCCCTATAATCTTTATAGGGTAGCGATTTGTCAAAGTTCATTGTCTCTTCTTAGGAAAAATTAAACATGTAAAAGGTGATTTTATGTGAAGGTCAAAGTGGTTTCCCTGAAACAAGGATTACAAGCTATGAGCCTTTTAGACGTTAAAGTAGCAGAATAACTCAACGTGTTTCTTTTGCAGTCTTTTTTTAACATAATGCCCTTTTCTCAACTTTCACACTTTTTGTTTGTTCACACCTTACTGAACAATATGATTATTAATGCTAAATGTTGTTTAGGAAGGGGGTGTATAAGTTGGCCTCTTTAGATAGTTAAAAATTCAAGTTGTTTTCAAGAGAAAATTCAAAGTTTTGAAGTTGAAAAGACTTGGATCTTGGGACCTTGTAGGAGAAGAAGGGTAACCTCTTTCCTGAATGGTAATAAGTTAGAAAGTTAGCTTCCTGAATGGCCAATTGATTGGAGATTTGTTATACCTCGACGAACGTGAATAATTCAACCAGATACATCAAAATTATTGAGGCTTTACCTTCCAAGTTCCAATCATTTCTTTATTCAAACCCAACCGCAGCGACTCGGCTTTTTCTTGGATACATTCAGTTTGACGTACGCCCCCTGTTCCCTCCCTTTGTTTTTTTTTTTTATCAAAACATCACATCAGAACTCTCCAATGGAACTCACTAGTCCCACTTTGGCATTTGCATTGGTTCAAAGAGATATCCATCGTTTTCTTGGTTAAAAAAAAAAGAAAAAACTTTTTAGTGACAGAGAGGAACTGAGCAGTAACAGAGAGCCTTCTGCTGCTACCCATACTTCATATATGATTGTGTGATCGACAGCTTAAGCTTCGTTAGTCTTCAGGGAGAGAGACCATTAATGGAGACTCAAAGCACTTCCCATGAGCAGCTAGTTGTGTTGTTTGTGATTTTCTTCTTCACCTTCAGTTCCACACGGTGCTTCATTGAAGTTGAATCCCATCCTCTGCCTGAAAATCATGCTGCTTTCTTCATCTTTGGGGACTCTTTCTTGGATGCTGGCAACAATAATTACATTAACACCACAACTCTCGACCAAGCTAACTTCTGGCCCTACGGCCAAACCCACTTCCGATACCCCACTGGAAGATTTTCCGACGGTCGTTTGGTGTCTGACTTTATAGGTAAGATTTCCCATATATATGGTTTTAAACCCATCTCTATTTTATTGTCTTTTGTTTGCTGTCTTGGTTTCGATGAATATTTCTCTTTTTCTCTCTATACATTTGGGCCAGGCTCAACTTTTCATGACTTTTGTTCCTCTATCTTCCAGCTGAATTTGCCAAGCTGCCATTGATCCCACCTTTTCTTCAACCGGGGTTTCATCAATATCATAATGGAGTGAACTTTGCTTCGGCTGGAGCAGGTGCTTTATCCGAGACTTTTCATGGGTCGGTAAGAATAACGTACCCCACCTACTCCTCACCGCATCTTTTCCATATTAAATAAGCAAGGGAAATTGTCATTAACTCTGCTTTGAGTAATGTTCGAACATAAAACTGACTCATGATTAAACGAAAGTAAACTCAGGTGAATTCATGCCTGAAAATTGAACTCATCCGGGGAAATATGGGAGGTTTTAGATTGAAGTTAACAAGGTGAATTTGAAGTGAAGAAGGTTGTTTAACGTTTTTCAGGTGATCGAGCTCAAAGCACAGATTAAGTACTTTAAGGAGGTAGAGACTTGGCTAAAACGGAAGTTGTGGAAAGCAGAAGGTGGGCTGATACTGTCAAAAGCTGTGTATTTGTTCAGTATCGGTACCAACGATTACATGAGCCTCTTCTTAACCAATTCCCCTTTCCTCAAATCCCATTCCATATCTGAATATGTTGAGTTGGTGATTGGTAACTTGACAACTTCCATCAAAGTAAGCTTTTTTGCCATCTTCAAATTTTCTTTCGAACATAGTAATGTCTTGTGATAAGAAATGATGGTGTTTTTTGTTGGTTCCGACAGCAAGTACACGATAGTGGGGGCAGGAAATTCGGGTTCATGAACTTGCCACCGATGGGCTGCAGTCCAGGGCTGAGAGTAGCCGGAGGAGATGCAGATGGGAGGTGTTTGGAAGAGTTTGGGGCGTATGCAAACGAACACAACCAGAGATTAGTGAAGCTTCTTCAAGACTTGGAGAAGCAGCTCAAGGGGTTCAAATATTCACTCTACGACTTCAGCAGCAGCCTGAGGCAGAGAATGGAGAATCCATTGAAATATGGTAAAAGTGATAGATAGATAGATAGATAGATAGACTGTTGCTGCGTGTTACGCTTTGTTGTGTATAATTTGAAACACCATTGATGCAGGGTTGAAGGAAGGGAGAGAGGCATGCTGCGGGACAGGGAGATTTCGAGGAGTGTTCAGCTGTGGAGGAAGAAGAAGAGTGAAGGAGTTTGAATCGTGTAGGAACCCAAATGAGTATGTGTTTTGGGATTCTTACCATCTCACTGAAAGCCTCCACAAAGAGCTTGCTCGTGAAATGTGGAGTGGTTCTTTCAATTCCCATTCTTCTCTCAAGTATCTCTTTCAAACCACTTGACAACGCTGTGAGGATTAATCATATCGAATCATTTGTCATGCTTTTTCTTTTCAATTCGCCATTTTCTGATGAAATGAGTTAATAATTTCAATCCTTAGATTCATCTTTGAACTTGTTGATTGGTTTTTGGGAGTCTTATCTTCAAATTCTCTAAGCTCAATCTGAGTTTGAGTTTATCATCACAGAGTGTATTATGATATGACCAATTTATGACATCAATTTATGAGTTTGGTTTAGTTTGTGTCGCCTAATGCACATGGTGTAATCTAATTGAACTAATTTATGTTATTGGATACAAATAATTTGTATAGATATTCGATATATTTATCATTCGGACAATTTTTATATTCACAAAGAGCAAACTAGAATCTTACCCCAAGTATTTACTCTAATGAATAAATTAGTACTGAATCAAAGTAGCATTGAACTGAGCATGACGTAGTAGTGTATTTTTTTATGCAGATTTGTTCTGTCTGTTTATATTAATCCCATATGACTATCTTAGAGTCCATACGAGGACTTTATCATGCCAATGTGGGGATATCGAATTAGGTGCGACCACTTGGTTTCTTGCTCAAGGTTCCATTACTCTTTTGAGTAATACGTTGGGTCCTTGGCTCGACTTCACAAATCTTCAAAACGTCGTTTTCATTTTCTCGACGCGCATGACACATAGGCTATTATATAATTGTAAAAATAAAAGTCTAATTTTAAATTATCTTGTAGAGTTTATTAAAATATTTTTAGCAACTTGAGTTATTCTAGCAAATATTTATAACTTAATTTAATATTTATTAGTCAAACCCGAATAGAAATTTACTATACCACGATGTATCTACTTTTAAAAATGTTTATTAATTTTATATTAAAAAGTTTATGACAAATTCAAATTTTAAAAAAAAAATTAATTAGTTTATTAGATATATATTTAGTAGAAATTCCAAACTTTAATTTTTTATTTAGTAGATTTATGACTAAAAAAAATAGGACAAAATTTATAATCTTAAAAATTTAGGACAAATGTATAATTTAACTTAAATATTTATTATCTAAAAATATTATAAATATTTTGTGAAGTTTAATTTTAGACAATGATGTCATAAATATTTTATTCATTAGTCATTGTTGCTAAAAATATTATAATGATCTGTATAAAATGAGTTTTAGTCAAATGATTTTACAATACAAAATTAAATTATATATTATTATTTAACATGCCATTATTTAATACCCACTAATTATTTTTTAACATGTCATTACGGTTCATTATTCTAATGTCAATTTATTTATTTTACGGGATCTCTCTTAAAAGAATGACGATATAAAATAGAGAGTTTTCTTAGTACAAAAGTGTTCGTCCCATCGAACTTGCCCGCTCCATATTCAATTTTTGAGAATAGAAGACTTGGTCCTATTTCAATGTAGTTGTTGCTTGAGGTTGACAAAAATGAGCTTAGATACATGTTTTTTAGTATATCATATTCATATATGTACGACGACGAATAATGATACCACGATATTAAAGATTAATAGATATATTATAATCGATTAACTTCGAGTTGAAGCAACTGCAATCCTTCATTATAAATTTATGGGTTGAGTTTGAATAAGTAATCGAGATGGCAACTTCATGTTTTCCTTCATCATCTTTCTTAGTCTACTTCATATTCAGTCTTCTCTCTATACACAGCTGCAAAGGTCATCCAAACAATGCAGCCTTGTTCATCTTTGGGGATTCCTTGTTTGATGCTGGAAATAACAACTACATCAACACCTCTTTCAAAGCAAATTTCGTGCCATATGGACAATCCTTCTTCAAATTCCCGACCGGGCGGTTTTCGGATGGCCGCTTGATTCCTGATTTCATTGGTAAATTAAGTCTCCTTTGATAACGATTTCGCTTTTATGTTATTTTTGTTGACGGTCGAAGTTTGTTTAATTTGCAGCTAAATATGCTAATTTGCCATTGATTCTTCCATATCTTCATCCCATGAACAAAGATTACGTTCATGGAGTGAACTTTGCATCAGCTGGAGCTGGTGCTTTAGCTGAAACCCATGAAGGACTTGTAAGTAAAATTTGGTCTTGTTGTTTCTTAATTACACTATTTGAAGGAGAGCTCAGCCATATTGTGTGTGTTGTTTACAGGTAATTGACCTGAAAACCCAGCTCAGTTACTTCAACAAAGTAACAAAGGTTGTTGAAGGGACGAGACATCCTGCAGAAGCTAAGGCATTACTATCCAAAGCTGTCTACTTCTTCAGCATTGGAAGCAACGATTATATTGCTCCTTTTACTACAAATTCCACCCTTTTCCAATCTCATTCTCCACAACAATACGTTCAGCTGGTCATCGGAAACTTAACCACCGTCATCAAAGTAAGTAGTTCAAGCCCATCGCGAGTAGATATTGTTCTCTTTAATCTTACCCTCATGAGTTTTCTCTCAAAATCTACCCTTTCGAAGTCTAGCGTCCTTGCTAGCACACCACCTCGTGTCCATTCCCTTCGGGGCTCAACCTTCTTGCTAGCACATCTCTCGGTGTCGGCTCTAATACTATTTGTAACATTTCAAAGCCAACTGCCAGCAGATATTGTCATTTTTGGACTTTCTCCTGGATTTCCTCTCAAAATTTTTAAAACGCATCTACTAGTTAAAAGTTTACACACCCTTTTATAAAAAAATGCTTCATTCTCCTCCATAACCGACGTGGGATCTCATAATCCACCCCTTTTCAGGGTTCAACGTCTTCACTAGAACTCTCCCTTTTCCAATCGATGTGAGGTCTCACAATCCACCCAGGGTCCAGCGTCCTCGTTGGCACTCGTTCCCTTCTCAAATTGATGTAGGACTCCCCAATCCACCCCTTCATGGCCCAACATCCTTGTTGGCACACCACTTCGTGCCCTCCCTTTCGGAACTCAGCCTTCTCCAATTTTTGACTTTAATTCTATTTGTAACAACCCAAAGCTCACAAATATTGTTCTTTTTAAGTTTTTCCTTTCAAACTTTCCTCCACAACTCACGTGAGATCACATCAGACACCTCTAAATCAATCATATATACCAAAAAGAAAAGGATATTTTCTGATAGGAATGATTTGTTTGCAGGGAATCCACAAGAACGGTGGAAGAAAGTTTGCATTTTTAGGCGTTGGAGATATCGGGTGTGTGCCCTTAGTGAAGGCAGTATTATTACAAGGCAAAGATGAATGCTCTGAAAACATTACACAACTTGTAACACTGCATAACAAACATGTTTACAAAGCTCTCCAGCATCTTGAAAAGGAACTTGAAGGGTTTGTTTATTCCTATGCCGATTTATACACTTCAGCCAACCAAATATCAAAGAACCCATCTAAATATGGTAAGTAGAATCATGCATCTCAGCGTGATCATATTGTCTAGTGTTTCAATGAACTCACTGAAATTTGATCTGTTTGGCAAGGTTTGAAGGAAGGGAAGGCGGCATGTTGTGGAAGTGGGCCTTTCAGAGGGTATTTTAGCTGCGGGGGAAGGGATGGACAAGAGTATGAGTTGTGTAGTAACCCCAATGAGTATCTATTCTATGATTCTGCCCATCTCACTCAAAAGGCGAGCCAATTGGTTGCTGAGTGGGTATGGAATGGGAGCTCCGACAGCATCAAGCCTTACAATCTTAAAGCTTTGTTTAATGTTTAAGTTGGTGGTGATCCATTGAGGGTGTTCCTAACACATGTTTGGTAATGCAATAAGTGGGCACCAATGGTAGTGTGCTTAATTTACCCAAATAAGGATTTTAAGTTGATGTAAGGTTGTTTTGATCTCTGTCTTGGCTTTCATCATGTACGTGTGGTGAAGTATTGATGAATTTTGATGTTCAAAAGTTTATGAATAAAGGTATTATATGTTTTGTTTTTGGTACTTGAAAGCTATATAATTTGATTTGAGAAGTCAAATTTCAAGATGACTAGAAGCCAAAAATGTTTAAACAATTAAAGGGACTAAAAAAAATATAAAAGAAGATAATAAAATATTAAGAAAAAAAGTCAAAAAGTCAAAAAGTCAAAGTCAACGGGGGAGGGTAGGAAAAGAAACCCGAGAGAGAGAAAGGATGAGTAACCCACGCCAACACCTATTTTGGCCACCCATAGCCTTATTTCGGTCAAAAACCTCAAAAAAAACTTGCTCAAAGCTTAATGGAGATCAAGTTGGATGCTTGAATTGTTCAAAATCATCCCGAAACAAGGAAGATTGGGAAGCAAGTTTTCGAGTTTTTCGTTTTCTGTTTCTAAGATCTAGTAGGAATTATGTTTTGATGTTTTTGTCGAGGGAGCAAAGTTTTGTTAGCTATTTTTTCTTGTTATTAGTGGAGTCAGTTGAGTCGTGTCCTTTTTCGTCTTTTTTGTGTTTCATGTATTTTTCTATAAAAGGCATTGGACCTATGAATAAAGAATGATATTTTTAGTACATTTGCCCAGTCTCTTTAATGGACCGCTATCATTTAGTATTAGAGCCAAAGCAAAACAAAGTGATCCAAGAGAGAAAATGAGCAACGACAAAACACTCACCAAGATTCCAGAGTTTGATGGTCACTATGACCATTGGAGTGAATGGATGGAAAACCTCTTGCGTACCAAGGGTTTGTGGAGTCTAGTGGAAGAGGGTTTCACCGAACTGGCAGAGGAAATCGAAGTGACGGCAGCGCAAAAAAGAAATCTTGAGGAGTTCAAGATGAAGGACCATCAAGTGAAGCACTAACTGTTCCAAGCAATTGATCAAGTTGTGTTTAAACAGATCTTGAATCGCAAAACATCCAAGAACATTTGGGATTCGATGAAGAAAAAGTTTGGAGGCAACGAAAGGGTGAAGCGGTCTCTTCTCCAAACTTTAAGAAGAGATTTTGAGGTTCTTGAAATGAAGAACGAAGGAAATATCGATGATTATTTTGGAAGAGTAATGGTTGTCTCCAACAAGATGAGAAGCAACGGAGAAGACATGTCAGATTCGAAGATTGTTGAGAAAATACTTCGAACTCTGACGGACAAATTCACATATGTGGTGGTGGCCATCAGGGAGTCGAAAGTCATAGGAAAGATGATGATTGACGAACTG